TTCTCCATTTAAAACAATCACACTGTAATCATTGGTCCAAACTTATGTCAGTTGTAAGGACTGGGTGTCACTTGAAGTGTGGAGTACACAATGTAAAAATAAAAACAGCCTTTTAGGAAGTAAGCAAAAGAGAGACAGAGAGAGAGAGAGAGAGAGAGAGAGAGAGAGAGAGAGAGAGAGAGAGAGAGAAAAGAAGAAGAAGAAGAAGAAGAAGAAGAAGAAGAAGAAGAAGAAGAAGAAGAAGAAGAAGAAGAAGAAGAAAAAGGATGAGCAAGAAGAGGAGGGGAGAAAGAAGTAGGAGGGAGAAAAGGAAGAGGAGGAGACAGAATATATTGCTAAGTTTAGAAAAAATGCTCTACAATTATGTTGTCTGTAGGGACATTTGCATATCACATTTCCCCCTTTAAAAACATTGAACACCTGTCATCAGAAGTAGGTGCCTATTTTTCAGATAGTTTGTTTTCTTAAAAATTAGCTCACATTTGAATCCAGCCAATGTGGAGCATAGAGGCAGAATTACCACTCTTTATATCTTACTATCTTATGAAATGAACACCCAAGACATGAACTAGACACGTGTTTTTGTAACACTGGATCCTTAGCACTGGAAAGTGGTGAGGCTTGAGAGCTAGAGAACAAATAAGATTGGTATTGTGCTTGTCTAGCTTCCTAACTAGAGGTCCAGGGAGGGATGAATGAGGAATACATTCCTAGTATTAAAAATATGTAACTGAGCATCTGGGGAGATCAGTCAGGCTAGAGGTGACATTCAGAATACTGGAATCAAGGATTGCACAGAAAACACCAGAGATCTATCTCCCCAGTGTCTTCCACAAATATTCTGCAAAGCACTAACTAGTCCATGTGAAGAACCAACTTTCACCATGAAGGGAGAGAAGAGAGAACAACCAAAAGAATGGAAAAAAAGTATCTGTTTTTTAGTTTAATATTTTAAGAATTTCATACATGAATACTATTTTTATATTATTTCTACCCTTTCTTCTTTTCCCCTCCAGTTCCCCCTATGTTTTCCTACTTCCTCTCAAATTTATTATTATTATTTTAGGATTATCTTAGTAGTATTATTTTAGTATTATCTTAGTAGTATTATTTTATCTTAGTAGTATTATTTTAGTATTATCTTAGTATTCTTATTTTACACACAAACACACATACACATGAGGTAGATGCTTTCTGCACACTCTGTCAACATTATTATGGGGACAATGGGAAGATCTGACATTTCCCTGAGCCTGACCTATGAAGGCATTGCCATTCCAAAGGGTCTGAAGCACTGAGGTCCTTGACATAGCTGTGTTCATGTCAGCAAAGCACATTCACTCAGGACTTCATCCACTGCCCGTGCCAGGCAGCCTTCAAAAGGCTGTAAATTCCCTGTATAGGTGATACCACTTAGAATGTTATTGCCTTATCTATGAAAGAATAACTAGGCCTTCATGAAACACTTATAAATCTTAAAGCAAGAACACAAAGAAACAGTGTCTAAGTCATTTAATTGCATTCCAGAACAAAGCTCAAAAATATTTGTGAGAATCCAGCACTCTACAAGGTCACTTCATGATGTCTGGCACCTAATAAAATGTATCTAAGCATGGAGAAAGCGGAATGATGACTCATCATGACAATAATCAATCCATAAAAAGTGATGGATATAGAACTGAAGCAAATGCTGACAGAATAGAGCATTCAAAATAGTTTAAAGCATAGTACATATGCTTAAAATTTAAGTTGGCATCTGGAAGATAAAAGAAAATATCCCAAACTTAACTTTTTTTTATTTATTTTTTATTGAAAAATTTCCATATTTGTAAAATGAAAGTAATATTTTTTTAAATTTATTTTGCAATACAATTCAGTTCTACATATCAGCCACGGATTCCCTTGTTCTCCCCCCTCCCGTCCCCCTCACCTTCCCCCCAGGCCCCCCCCATTCCCATCTCCTCCAGGGCAAAGACTTCCCCACAGACTGAGGTCAACCTGGTAGACTCAGTCCAGGTAGGTCTAGTCCCCTCCTCCCAGGCTCAGCCAAACAATCCTGCATAGGCCCCAGGTTTCAAACAGCCAGCTCATGCAATGAGCACAGGACCCGGTCCCACTGCCTGGATGCTTCCCAAACAGATCAAGCCAATCAACTGTCTCACCCATTCAGAGGGCCTGATCCAGTGGGGACCCCTCAGCCATTGGTTCATAGTTCATGTGTTTCCATTCGTTTGGCTATTTGTCCCTGTGCTTTATCCAACCTTGGTCTCAACAATTCTCACTCATATAAACCCTCCTCATTCTCGCTAATTGGACTCGCAGAGATCCACCCAAGGCCTAGTCATGGATCTCTGCATCCAGATCCCTCAGTAGTTGGATGAGGTTTCTAGCACAACAATTAGGGTGTTTGGCCATCCCATCACCAGAGTAGGTCAGTTCGGGCTGTCTCTCGACCATTGCCAGCAGTCTGTTGTGTGGTTCCAAACTTAACTTTTAAGGAGAAAAAAATACAGTATCTGGCAATGAGAGCACATTAGATTAAAAAAGATTTGCAAAAGGAAAGATAAGCCAATTTGAAGACAGCAGTAGAAATCCAAAAATAAACAAAGAGAATGTCCTCTTAAATGAACAGGTCATCAGGGATCTTTGTAAAAACTGCAAGCATCTAAACACACATGTAAGCAGAGCCTCAAAAAGGGAAAAATGGACAGAAAATCTTAATTATGAAAAGTTTCTAAATTTCATGAAAATTAAATACTGGTGGATTGAAGGGCACAGTAAGCCCAAAGCATTAAAAAATAAAGGAACACCAAAGGAAGTCACAACTAATTGTGACTTTTAATATATGATTTATAATTATTTAAAGTTATTAAAGGAAAAGTACATAAAAGTAGCCAGAAGAAAACATATATGTTATGTTCAGAGCAATTAACTTAAATGGTAACTGCATAGAGATTTTTCATAAAGCTGCAAAGTGCTTTCAACTTTTGTATTATCTCCCTACATCCTATGAGTTGAATATTGAGGATGCTCCTAATTGTGCCAAAACATGGAGGAGAAGCACAAAGTAATGGCCTGGTCCTTAGTTAAAGAAGAGCTACCTTCACAATCTACACCACTCACTTGGAAAATGATAGACAGACAAATAAAAGGTGATTTTTATTACATTTTCATTTATTGATTCGAGGAGGATGCCATGATGTGTTTGGAAGTTTGGAGTACTATTTTCAGAAGTTATGTCTCTCCTACCTTCAGACAAAATTAATACAAGTCATTCTACCAGAAAGACAGTCTTTTATTTTTTCAATAATTTCAAATGCTAGCCTATAGTATTCATGTTTCTGGTACATATACATGCATGGAACCTTTTTTGAAAGGTTTGTTCCATTTATCTATTTCATTCTTGAATGACACCCATCCACCAATTAGGTGTGCTTATACGCAACTTCATAGCTGGTGGGACAAATACTCTGATATTTTCATTTTTCAATAAAGTATCTTGACACTTCGTACCATATTGAATTTCCAAATAAAGTTAAATCAGTTTTTTTGTTTGTTTCTTTGGTGGTTTTATTTTTGTTTTTTATGTGGGTGGTATTATCGGGAACTACAACTAGGGCATTTGTTTCAGTCTGTCGGTCTTATCATGAGTTAATAAGTTCAGAAATCTTCAGTTCCATATGACACTCTCTCTCTCTCTCTCTCTCTCTCTCTCTCTCTCTCTCTCTCTGCCTCTCTCCTTACCTTCTATTTTGTCTCCTAGCTTCAGTTTTTTGGTTCTATACCATACTGATAGAACTTTATTGATTCCTTCATGTTTCACTGTGTAGCAATTCTATATTGAAGGTTTCTTCAAGTCTTGAACCACATTAATCTTTTTCAGGTACAGTGGCTAATTTATTCATTGTAATAAAATCTTTGGCTCAGTCAAGAGTTAGTCGAATTTTTTGTAATGCCATATTAATGTATTGGAGAGTCAGGCAATTTATTCCACATTCATGACTTACTTGTAGAGAGTTTCCATTGCTTTAGGTATTATTCTGTATATTACTGAGCATTCAGCACTAAGAAAATAGGTACATTCAATATTTAAAACAGATATAAACATTTCATTCACAAGTGCAATTAATTCCATGAGGTGGAATAATAGGTCTTCATGTGGAAATAATTTGATGGAGGATACAAAGAATAATATATTTTTAACTTATTAGATATTATATGAAAATGGAACAGGATTAAACATAAAACAAACATATTTATGCAGCAAGTTGACTATAAATCCTGACCTAGACAGATGACTCAGAAGTTAAGAGAATACTGCTCTTTCCAAGGACCAGAGTTCCCTGTACTCAAACTGCCTCTAAATCCAGCTCCAGGAATTCAGCATACTCTCTGGCCTTTGTTGGTACCTGCATTCATGTGAATGTACTCATCTACACACACACACACACACACACACACACACACACACACACACACACACACACACACGTACACATAGTTAAAAATAAATATTTTTTTAAAGGCTGCATATCTTGTTCTTATAATTAATCTATTCTTTTATTTGTTCTACAGTATTCCTGTTCATTGAACACTGTAACAAACCAGATATTAGGCTCAGAATGATGACCTAGTCTCAGTTTCAGTCTTTGAGATTATTCTGGTCTAATTGTTTAATATTTTACAACATGTCTATTTAAAACAGTTTCATGCCAGGACTGGAGAGATGACTCAGCACTTAAGACTGCTGTTCCTGCAGAGGACAGATTCTATACCTATCACCCATATGGTGATTCACAACTATCTTTAACTGCAGCTCCAGAGGATCTCACACTCTCTTCTGGCCTCCGAGAGCTTTAAGACATGCATGTGGTCCACATACATATATGTAGGCAAAACAACCATGAACATAAAATAAAATTAAAAAAAAACTTTAAAAAGACAATGGCATGTCAAATAGAAACAATTGTTTATTCTACATTTCTTTTTCTTTTTTGCAGATGCGGATAGGCATTCACTCGGGCTCTGTGCTAGCTGGTGTGGTTGGCGTGAGAATGCCACGATATTGTCTTTTTGGAAATAATGTCACTCTGGCAAGCAAATTTGAATCAGGAAGTCATCCTCGGCGTATCAACGTCAGCCCAACTACTTATCAGTAAGTGTTCTCTAATTTCTCCCTCTTATCATTTGCACTGACTTGATATGATACTCTGTCATCTGTCCCTTTCTCTTTTCTTGGTTCTGTCACTTTTCAAGTAATTATGAGTAGTTCCGCCCAGTTTGAAATATAGTAATTATAACAAACTTTTGTTTACACCCTGATAAAGTGGATAGGAAATATGAGTTGACTGAGAGATAAGTAGGTTTGTCATTTTCCACAGTCTTGGTCCTGCTATGATATAACTGCTTAAAACATAGAAGAGCAAATGTTAAGAGTCTTCAGTCTACATTGCACTGTAAATCCTAATGTTTTCAAAATGCTTCTTATTGTTTGCAAAAAAAGGGAAAAAACACATAGTTCATTTGTTTTAATCATTGAATTAGAAATATAAGAAACATGAAATTAAATACACATAATAAAACCTGAACTCTATTTATCTTTAGGTCTGTTTTGGACAGTGCTACACAATTTTTTTCTCCTTAACCCATCCTTATTTTATGCTTGCTAGATGTCACCTTCCATAGTACATATTAAATTCCATGTAGGCAGAGGCCATTTGGGTTTGGCTTATCATTATCTACCCAGAATTTTGATTAAAAATGTTTAGTACATACTAAACACTCCACCAACATTAATTGAATGGACTGATAATTGTTTGATAGGATAGACTGCTTCAGAATCAGTAATAAAGACCAGTTTGAAAATCTCCCACCTTGCCTGAGACTTTAGCTTTATGCTAAGCATTATCACACAAGATTCTTAACTATACTATATTTCTGATGACTTAGAAATCCTGTGAAAAACTCTTAAGTAGAAAAGAGTGACTACTGAAATTTTCAGTTGATGTGATTATAAAAAAAAAACCCTCAGAAAATAAAAAAAAGAAAATTTGTTGTAATAGTAAATAAGCTAGAAATAGAAATATTGAGTCTTTTCATACCATATCTTAATAGAGGATATTTAAAGTCTTTTAGACAAATTACACATACTTCTAGATTCCCAGAAATAAATGAGAGAGGGAATTGAAATTATAAATATAAGTCAAAAGAGAGTTGGAATTGGAGACATATGCTCAGTTAAGATGGAGAGTTTCGCTTTAAAGACACACCTCTTACTCATCAAAGGAGTTCAGATTTAGCATATCTGATTGACCTCTCCTGACCAGCCTCCTACCTGTCTTCATTTACTTAACAAGTATTTGCTGATTTGGGATATTTGTAAAATTAATTTTCATTTAAATTTCTCTAATTTTTTTCTATCATAATTCTGGGCATTTGACATTACTTGACATAGCAAATTTGATGATAGAAATGTATTTAGAAGAAATCATAATTTTACCATTAAAAAATCCAGATAAAGGAAATTTGCTGATATTCAATTATGTATTCATACTCATAATTTACCATGTATATCTATATTTTCTGGGAAACTTCATTTACAAATAATAGTGGCACAATAAAAGTGGATTGTCCAGTAGGAGCCTTTGCACCATAACCACAACTGGCTTGTGTCCAGGTGATAGAAGCTCTACAGACCGCAAAATCTGGGCGCTTTGGTGCTGATTCTAAGTTTCAATAATTCTTTTCCCATTCCTTTTGTCACAATCCTTAATGATGAGAAAGTATAAAGAACTGAGTGATTTCAGTGACTCTAACCATTGGAGGACTTTGTTCTATTGTTGTCCCCCAATCCCTGCCTCTCAAAATCAGCTCGGTTCAAAGATAGACACACTGAACTGCTTTGTTGGTTTTTCCTAAAAGATATGTTCTTTGTCTTTAAATCATGTAATTCCTAGAAATACCATATAAAATATTTTAATGTTTCATGTGTCTTTAGGATAAACATCCCTCTTTCTCTGTTTCCTACCTTTTTTTCCTCCTTATAACAAATATTTGCTGATGACCTACTATTATTCTAGCCATTGTAGTGGATCCTGAGTTTCTAATGATGAGGAGAACAAGAGATCATAGACTAGATGATAGATAATGCAGAATAAATAAATAATCAACTGCAACAGAGTAGTGTAGAAATCAAGGAGACCCTGAACTGGAGATTGAGTTCAACAGGAAGAATGGGTTAAAATGAGGATGGAAGAATAAACTGCTCATACCAGCAAGGGCTGTTAAAGGCTTTCTGGTTCATCGTAAGAGCAACAAAACAATTAGGAAGTTATAGGCAGAGGAGAGATGTAATCGACCTCATGCTCTTAGAATATCACCACTGAGGTTGTAAAGCAGGAGTGACATTTGGGATTGCATTGGTGGTAGGGAGATGAACGTGATGGAAACCCAGGTGTCCTCACCCCGTGTCATACACACCGCTCTGAACAGACACTTTGTACCTCGCTGCTTCTTGTTCGTGCCTTAGCACTTACTCCTGTTTTTTTCTACTCTGATGTCGGCAGTTCTGCAATCTGCAATGTATTTCAAAATCCAATTTTATGTATTAACCTTCTACAGATACATACTCTTCAAACAATAAAATTTTATTTTACATTGTTTAATATACATAAGTGGTATTTTACCGTAGTACTTTCTTTATAATTCAGCTTTTAACATTGCACAGATGACTTAAAAACCCACAGACACACACTGTGCCTCTCCTGAGTACCCCAAGGCAAAATGCCAGGACTGACCTTGCAATAACTTTCTCTACAAAGAGGAAAACTGCTCTTTCTTAAGGAAAACAGGAATCTATCAAGTAAAACTGAATATCAATCCCATGAGAAATGACATTTCTACTTTCCATCAAATAGAATGTCCTATATTTCCTGATTATCTTGAAATCTTAAGAAGTTTTATGTGATTAATTTTCAGTAAAATTTTATGACTCAAACTAAGAGCATGAGATTAACTTGATATGAGAATAAATTGTAATAATTTAATAGTTCACCCAAATATATTTTATTTGAAATACTCAAATAATTGATTGAAAATAAACACTTTTTACAATAATATAACAATTCTGAAGTACAAAAACTAAAAGAGATCCATATCCATGATTCCAGCAATGGTTTATTGTCATCTGTATTTCAATTATTTTTCAAATAAAAATGAATAAAATGTACTGATTTAATTTGAAAACATCCCTCCCTTTCATTGTGACAAGCATTCATATAAGTTTGGTGTGTTTCAAAATCCAATTTTTATAAATCAGTTTTCTACAGATACATATTCAAGCAATAAAATTTTATTTTAGAACTTGTGCTCCTAATGGTATTATTTCTCTAACCATTCAAAAAGTTAAACTTCAGTCAGGGGTTGGTGGCCTATACCTTTAATCCCAGCACTACAGAATTTGAAGCTAGCCTGGTCTACAGAGTGAGCTCCAGGACAGCCAGGGCTACACAAAGAAACCCTGTCTTGAAAAAAGAAAAATAAAATAAAAGAAACAAATAAAAAATTAAACTGCTTCATTTTTCATATGATATGCTATTTGCATTTGCTAAAGTTTCCTCTACTAAGAAGTATCAGATTTTTAATCTTGAAAGCATTGTAGAAAGGGATAAACTGTTTGAAGCCAGAAGTAGAATTTGGATTTGCATTCTCATTTTCTTTGACATTGGTAAGTCCTTGCGTTGCATGAATGCTCAGGATCATTTCCTCTGTACCTACAGCAATTCATTGCTAGTTTTATGTGATGACAAAAGAATTGTTGAGTCTTAAATTTGTCCTTGTTTGATGATCTCATTTTTATCAAATAGTGATATTTACACTCATCTTTGTTCCTCATCATTTAAAGACAGTGCACATATTACAAACATTTGTCTTGACATCTGGGAAACCCAGATAGTTGCTTAAATCAATGATGGCTTCATTAAGCCGTCAATTATCATAAATAATTAACTGATTATCTTGAGCAGAGTAGGTCTCTTTGGCTTAGGATCTCCAAGTGATGAGAATGTGACTAGCTTCTTTCTGCTTTTCTGATCTCTTGGTTTTCACCCCAATATCTGTCTCCATGTTTTTTTTATTAGTAAGACTGTTTAGCACTTCAAGAAACAAACAAAAAGATGGCTGTATACAACAGAGTTAATTGTTTCCTCTATGGAAACTAAAAATGTAGAAACTCTTTAATTACTTTAATATTAAATTTTCCTTAATTTTAAAACATTCTTGCATATATGCCTTTTTAAAAATTTTAAAACCCACGCCTATATGCCTTTCTGTTCTGCCATCTCATTTCCTGTCTCTGCCCAGCTACATCACTTCCTCTTCCTGTTCAGCTCTGTCATTTCCTGCCTATCTGTACAGACCTCCAGACCTTTATGGTTAGTGCTGGGATTAAAGGTATGTACCACCATGCCTGACTCTGTTCCCATTATGGCTTTGAACTCACAGAGATCCAGACGGATCTCTGCCTTCCAAGTGATAGGATTAAAGGTGTGTTCTACCTTTGCCTGACCTCTCTCTTTACTATAGTGGCTGACTTTTTCCTCTGATTCTCAGATAAACTTTATTGGGGTACACAGATAAAACATCAGCACATTTATTTCTTTCTTCTTTTCACATGCTGGGATCCAAACTTAGTTCCTCATACTTGTGTGACAAACACTGCCTACTGAGTCAATTTCTTGGCTCCCATATGCCTTAGCAATATAAGTGAGAACACATTAAGGAAACATGATTAGGGTTGAGGAATTACCGGGGAGTTTCCCAGTGAGTCTTATCTGATATAGTTTGGAACTTCCTGAAGCATTTTCTGTGTATATGCACAAGTTCATTTTCCTGGACCTTTTATAACCTACATAACCTCATCATCATTTTCAAAAAGCCTAAGGATTCAGAAAATATTAAAAACCAAGTACTGATAGATTAAATAAAATAATGACAAAATAAAAGAATATGAAGCTGACATTACTGTCTTAATCATTTATAAACTTGAATAACTCACAAAACCAAATGATTTTGTATAAAGTAAGGACATGACCACTGCAAGGTATGATTGAAAGGAAAGTTTTTATTGTAGATATGAGGGAGAATACAGCCAGGTGC